CATTGAACTATGCCATGAGGTCAAAACAGTCCAGAAACCAAAATTTTGAAACTTGTGAGGGAAAATGCTAAATCGACAGGCAAAAAGTTTTGTTCCCGATTTTTAGGCACTTGCTTCCACGAGGGAAAACTAGAACGAAACGAGATAAAAAACGACCGAAAGACACGCACGATTTTAATCTATCATAAAACACAATCGGCAGCATTATATATGCTTTTGGTAATAAACGAGCGGCCACAAAGCCAAAATTTCGTGGGTAGACACTCATTAATCCGCAAACGAAAAAAATGCCACAAGCAATTGTGGTCATTAAAAAATTTTGAGCAACTTAGTTTTAAAATTTTGAACTTTTACTCCGCAAACTATTTGAATCATTCTTAAAAACAAAAATCAGTTACGCGCTTCAAATGAATCACAATAAGTTTATTGATTCGACAAAACAAAGGCCCAAAAGTGAGTCCGAATAAAGCGAAAAAAAAGGAAATATATAAAATCAGGCTCAATAAAATTACAGGAGAAAATCAAAAAATACTTATAAATACAATCGTAAAATCCTTACAGCACAAGAAACGGCCATGATGTGGCAACTAAGCCCATAAAAATAAGCAGACAAACAAAAGTCAAACCCTTCAACTTTTTCGCTATTTTTTCTTAAAAAAGGTGCGGTCGGGAATCGGACCCTTGAGCGTAGGTTACAAATGCAACCGCGTTACCTCCAACCAAGTGGAAAGGAGTCTAGAAAACATTAAGTTCAATAATTGAGCAATTTCAATTTCTTATATATTTGTTTAAAAAAAACCTTGTTTACGGTCTAATTTCCGATTACCAGTTCCAGAGCAAAAAATAGTGCCTGGGCATTGGTCGATTTCATTAAAGATCAATTAGTAGGTCCACTGCAGCTAAAACTGCTACTGAAAAATGGCAAGTTAATCCGAAAAATAAGTTGGAGGGATGGATGGCTATCTGGTTGTAGGGATGGCTGGATAGGAGAATAGATTGCGGGCAGGATGAATTGATGGATAACTGAATGGACGCATGGGTGGCTGTTTAGATGGATGGCTGGTTGGATGGAAGGTTGGAGGGAAAATAGCTTGAGTGAACTGGCTGGATTTATGGATGGCTGAATTCAGAAGAGCACCGATGGATGCGTTAGATGAATGGATGACTGGTTGGTTGAATGGCTACGTGGACTTATGGCTGGATAGATGGCTGGCTGAAGGTGGATAGCGGGATAACTGAATGGATGGGTGGCTTGTTGGATGGAGAGATGGCTAGTTCGATGGATGGCTAGAACGATGATGGATGGTTGAAAATGGAGGACTGGTGGAATGTATGGATGGTTAGAATGATGCATGGCCTGATGGGTGAATGCGGGATAGATGGATATCCAGATGTATGGAGGAGTAGATCGATGATGAATCACTGGATGAATGACTGTCTAAATGTGTGGATAAACTGCCGGATGGATTGCCGGATGATTTTTGGCTGTCTAATGCGTAGATAAATGGATGAACTGAAAGATGGCCAGATGGATGAAGGGCTAGATTGATAGATGGATGGATGAATGGCTGATCAATAGATTGCTTCGAGGATGGATGGATGGGTCGACGGATGGCTAGAAAGATGTATGGCTGTTTGGATGGATCAATTGATCGCTAGATAGATGGCAGCTTGATATGGATGGCCAGTTGAGTGGATGCATCGGAGTATGGAGAAAAGCTATCTGGCCATTCAGCGGATGAATCGATCAACGCATGAATGGCCAGATAGATGAACGAATGGATAGCTAGATGACTGTAGCCAGTAATAGATGGCGAAAAGATGGCTGAGTAATAGATGGCTTGAATGATGGATGACCGTTTGGAAGGATGGATGGATAGCTTGTTAGGTAGATGATTAGTTGGTTGGATGGTTAAACAGGTGATTGGCTGTATGGCTTTATGAATGGACGAAAGGATGAATGGACAAAAGGAAGAATGGATGGATGACCTGATGAATGGATGGGTTGCTTGATGAAAAAATGGCTTGATAGATGGATGGATGGCTGAATGGATGCCCGGATGAATGGATCGAAAAATGACTAAAAGGATGGACCAATTTCTGAAAAATTGGCTTGATGGCTGGTTTAATGGATTAATGGCTGAAAGGATCGATGACTTGATGAACGACTAGCTAGTTGGATGGATCGTTTGATGGATGACTGTTTGGATTGATGGATGTGTGGATGGATGAATGGTTGAATTGATGGATTATTAAACTGCTAGATAAAAGGATAGCTAGATGGATGGCTGACTTGCTGGAAAGATCGAATGATGGTTGAAATGGCTCACTGGGTCGATGGAATGCTGGTTAGAACTGAGAGGACTGAAACGAATCTAGGCTGCCACGTAGGGAAGTCTGCAACCACTGAAAGTAACGCCATAGCTCGAGAATTTCAAAGTAAAGATTTTTTAAACTTTGAAATATGAAAAAAAACGTCACGTCTCGGATAGTACATAAGTTTGAGCTTAAAACGCATGCAGATCACATTTTCAACTGCTGATAGTAAACTGACATCGCCTAATTATAGAATTAAAAATTTCAAACTTCTCGAAGTTAATGAAATCTAAAATCAATTTTTTGAAAATTTTCGAAAAATCAAAAAGTCATATCGCAGAAATTATAAATTAGTTATTCCTATTTGAAAGCCAATTTAGCATCTTCTGGTACTATACTAAAAGTGCCCCACGATTGGGTTCCTAATTTCAAACTTGAAATAAACGCTGCAACGAAAAACGAATGTATTGATGGATGAATCCGAACTTTACAGTACTACACTCCGCTTTCCGGCTCCTCCCTTCCCATGCTGGCATCATAACTACAACCTTCCATTCGGTGCTTCCAATTGGCCTAGCAATCATAAACTGGAACACGAAAAAAATTTCTGAAGCCTTGCAATATACGATATAGCTTGAACGTGCAAAAACTATTTCGTTTTACATGCAAAAACTGATACGCTTTGACATTATGAATTACGTGTCACGCGCATTTAAATCAAGTAAGACAGACATTGATAAAGATATACAGTCACGAGACATGGAAATGCAACTTTTTGCTTTCAACGAGCAACTGAACGGATTTTTTTTCACGATTTTTTTTTTATGATTTTCATTTTCTTTTCATGATTTTTTTTCACGATTTATCTTTTTCTGTGCAACTATTGAAGATATCAGATTGAACATTTGACACATGCTAGATGATGCTAATTAAAAAAAGCTAACCGAATCAAATATTCAGAAATTCAGTGCGTAAAATAGCCAGTTAATCATAACTAGTTTCAGAAGTGTTTTGCTCTGGAAACTTTCTCTGGAAAAAACAAAGAATTTGAATTTATGGGCTCAAATGGGTTCTTTGGGAAGCTGATGATCTTCACTTACTCTATTGGTTAGGATTCGATTAGCTGCTTTCAATTAGTTTAATCTAGCATGTGTCAAATTTTCAATCCGATATCTTAAATAGTTGCAGAGAAAACAACTAAAACTAGAAGAAAAAATCTGTTCATTAGTTAATTGAAAGCAAAAAGTTACAACTTCAATGTCCCGTGACTGTAGATAGATAACAACCTCTCTTTGCCTATAAGTGTTTTGGTATGTATGGTAACGCCCAAAAAATGCTGTGTGATCAGCAAGAGATAACATTCAGCATTAAAGGCAGTTATTTTTTAGTGCAGAATTTTATTTTTAAAGATGCAGCGTGGTAATTTGGCCAAATAAATATGAGACAAGATTTCAAGTCACAAAAACTAATCAAGTTGGAAATGCCACTACGAGCGTAAACATCGACACTTTCTTCGAAAGTTGAAACAAAAACAATACACGAAATAGATGGTATACGACAAGCAGAACTTCTGCCAGTTGCAAAATTTCGATGTAAAAAAGTTTTCTTTTAGACAACGAGAAAATAATAATACGTGGCCGGAAAATTTCAAGTTTGTGGTGAACAGTTTATGAAGACAATAGTATCCATCTTCTCGGAAACAGCACCAGGCACGTTCCAAAATGTTGCCAGAGATAATCAGTGAGCTGCTGGCAGCTAAAATGATAACCTTACAATTATTATATTGGTCACACAGCTCTGTTGCAAAGATTGTATAAAATAATTTTGAAGATAAAGTGAAACCGAATTGCTCTTACTGACAACAACGTGTCTCAGTAATCAGGCCCAGTGAGAAATAATTACAACTGCTCTCCCTGAAATCAGGAAAGGTTATATGGCACTACATCCGGTATAATATTCTGACTGTACTGCAGTCCCTATCAAAATGGAGTTATCATTAATTGAATTCCATCCCTGAAAAATTGGGGCTCAATTATCAAATTACGGAAAGGGAACATACATTTTACATTGGAAATACACGAAACAAAAATCAAAAACTCTTGATTGAGGAGCTCAATTGCGGAAAGAGATGCTTATTTTAGCTGAGCTATGATTTTGCTACTACGATTAGAAAGATTAGCGAGTACTTTGCCAAGATCAAATCAAACATAGCGGAAGAAAACTTCACACTGGATGTTGCAAATTTAAGCTCTTTTTCTTTTTCCTTCAACCCCCCCCCCCCCCCAACATGCAAATTTTTTAAAGTAATTTTTCTGTTCACATTGTCGAATTGTTATAAAATACGCACTAATTAGGCCATGACAAACATATTTGGTCTTCATACTTAACCTTGTAAAACCACTCGTTACACCATGAGAAATCGATACGTATGTGAGGTAGGGAAAGGGGGGAAGGAAAAAGAGCCCAAATTTATACGCTACTATTTCTCGACCATCTTTTCTTAAGGCCCTAATTTCTTCGAGCAGGAGAAAACGAACGAAAGGGACAAGATTTCACTTTGCTTGATCTGGACTGGTTTCTACCAAGCACGACACTTTTTCTCTATTTGATTTGTCCAAAAAGTCGAAATAGTGACTTTATAATTGAACGAGAGTAACAAAGACTAAATAACATTTAGAAAAATATTTGTCGCAATAAGAATTAAATTTACGTTCAAAAGAAAAAAAATCTGTTCAAAGCATTGTTCAACACCCATCTTCATACAACTTGAAGACCAGCGAGCCTTTAACTTAGCTTCGCCTCCGGCATCTCGACTGGACTCGGAATCCTCGAAAGAAAGATCAGAAAACTTTTTCAAAATTTGCTCTAATTTAAGGATCCTCTGCATAGCGGACTGGCACATAGACAGGGGATCTTTTCGTCCTCTAGTGGGAATTTGTAGTCATACGTGATTTCTCCTCCAGCCGGAATTTCCTCTTTTGAATAAATCACAATCCGTTTCGTGTCATCTACTGTCAATATTTTGGCCGTGCAGTTTGGCGTGCATGAATGATTTATGAACCTTCCAAAATTTCCACATTTAGTTGCATCAATTATAGTCTCGCTGTCGATTCTGAACATGTAGCTGCTGCCTATTCCTATTTTCTCGTATCCCTTTTCTCTTGTGTCGGCCACTTGTTGGCGTATCACTTGACCAACGTACTCGATCACCATTTCGTCCGCAGGTATGGTCTCCAGAGCAAACAAGCCCCAGTTATGGATTCTGCTTCTTCCAAATGTCAGTTTCTTTTTCCTGAAGTGAAGCTGATTGTATTTCATTAATTCAGAGTCGTAATCTGCCATTTGTGATATGGACATGAGCTGTCTCTGTTCTAGTCTAGCACCGCGTGACAGAGTTGTCGAGCTTGAGGTTGAGGAGGAAGTTGAGGCTGATAATCTGCTATCTAATTCTGTAACATATTCCACTTGGCGCACCAACAGTTGGTTGGAGGAACTGCGTTTCGTGGGTGCTTTTTGTGCCGCTTTCTTGGCGTCTTTGTCGTACAACCGACACCTCGAACAGGTGCCGGGCGGTGGAAGTTCTTCCGAAGTGTGCTGTGTTGCTTTTTTCCTCTTCGTAGGTCGTTCAGGAGGCGGCCCTGGAACACAATTCGAGTCAATCCATTGACCTCCATGCAACTCCGGGTGAGACTCCATCATCATGTAAGCTTCTTTCAGAAACTTCAGATCCTCGGAATCCAATCCTTCTGCTAAGAAACTTCGCAAAATATCCATTTCTTCGTCGGTATCTCGCAACCGGCTCTCAACTTTGGGTTTTTCTGGTAAACTATTGCCGCTATTTGAATTGTCTCTACCCATTCTGGACACCTGATCAAACGTTTCTTCAATTAATTTCTCCAACGCCGTTTTCCTCTTTTTCAACTTGGGTTGAATTTCTTCAACTACCTCTGGAATCTCTTCTTTAACCTCTATTGCACGTTTTCTACAAACTTCTGGTTTATTCACAATTTCACTTTGATCTCTTTCTATACTGATTGATAAAGGCAGCGGTTTTATTTCTTGAGCATAATTGTGATCCGACATTATACTAGAAACAACCGATATTTGATTCTCAGATTCAACCTCATCTGTGGGTGACACGCTAATGCTTTGATCGTTTTCGAGGCGTGAAAAAATTCCACCTTTCGACACTTCGCTTCCATCAGATCGTAATTCATTGTTAATTTCATCATCTTCGTTATTGTCTACTGAAAGAGGAACTAAAGTGTCGTCCGACACATCAATGCCACTTTCCGGTTCTTTTTTCGTTTTTGAAACCATGTGCGCTTCATTTTCTTCGTCTTTTTCGCCAACCACTCGAACCAGTGTTCGATTCTCAATCGAGTCTTCAACCTTTTCACTTTCAGACTCATCGGATTCTTCTTCCTCTTCACTTTCAGACGATTCGTCGCCTGATTCTTCCGACTCTGAGGTTTCGACTTTGATTCCTGGTGCCCTCGTTCTTTTTCGAGGCGTCACCTCTTCGTCTTCACTATCCGAATAGATTTTGTCCGAAGCTTTCTCCGACCAATCAGATTTGTTCTCTTTTGCACTTATAGTCTCAATACTGTCTTTATTCTTATCAACAGATAAAGAATCATCCGCAGCATCGGCAAGATTCTTTAAGTTACTAAAAAGTGGTTCAATTTTAGGTTCAAGTCTACTATCATTTGTCAGGTTTTCACTGTTTCTCAATGCCTCTGGTTTCTTTCGAATCCTGAAGCTCGCCATAGACATGACACCCGATTTGAAGCCAAAGCCAGAAAGATTTCTTGAAGTTCTGCCATTCATCAGTGAGGATAAATCTAGAAGAGGAGCCAATGTTTCTGGTTCTTTGAACGCAGTTGTTGGTTTCTTATTTTCCTGATCTTCTCTTGTTAGCTTCACTGCTTGCTCTTGGAGCCTTTTCAACTTTTCCGTTTCATCTTCGAACCAATAATCAAGTTCTCTGTAAGCCACACTTTCAACCATCTTTCTATAAATATCTCCCTTTAATTTGGATCTAATGTCCTGTAAGAGTCTTCGGACAGCTTCATTAGTCAAAATATCCATTTTGGCGCGCATTGGAGGTTTTTTTGTGATCATACTTTGGTTGTCTATAGCAACTGGTGCCAGTAAAGGCGTACCGTCAGGGCCAAAGGCCTGCATTAAGCTAGGCTGCCGAGGGAGCACCAAGTTTGTCGTCAAACTCGGTTGCGGGTAATTCATATTCATCTGGTTCATTTGCTGATGCTGGGCTTGGTAGTTGTTTTGCGGGTTAATTTGATAGCTGTTGTGGAAATTCTGCTGTAAAAGAATCTTTGACTGCTTCTGTTGATCTTCAGCGTCGCTCAGCGGCGACAGCATCATGTCGTCATCGGCTGAGGGCTGGGTCACTACTGGAACAGTACTCGACAAATACGTCTGCCCGTTGGGTAAAACCACAGCTCCGGATTGTGTCAAAGGTGGCGGCTGTACGAAACTCGGCTGCTGAATCATAGCAGCATTTACCTGGTTCGATGGTAGCGCTTGCTGCGCTAGCCCAATAACATTCTGCGCCGGAACTTCAGATTGTAAGGTCGCAACAGGAGGCGCCGATTCTTTACTGCTATTGTGTTCCTCTTGCTCTAAAAGTTCCTCGTCCGAAGAAAACTCGTCGTAATCCGGGTTCGACTTGGTGCTCTTTCCGAGTAATTCGTTGATGCGGTCGTCCAAACTTTTCTGGTTATGCTGAATCGTGACAGCCATTTCAGGTTCCTCCTCGCTTTCATTTTCCGTCCCATCTTTTTCGTCATTTGTCTCAATGGCGTCACTTTCCGAGTCAATTTTCTCATCCGCAACTCCATTCACCACATCATCTTCGTCTTCTTCTTTCTCTTCCGAACTTCGGGGTGGCTTTGGGACAAAATCTCCCATTGGAGATTTCGCATTTTCAATTTCTTTCATAACTTCTGCTTTTTCAGAGTTGTAATTCGAGGGAAGAAACTGTGGATTCTGGACTATTTTTTGCATAAGTTCATTTAATTTTTCCATCCCAGAGGGTAAGTTCAGAACTTTAGTATTCGATTTGTTTTCCATAGGAGGTTCGGGGGGATTTAGGGGTGGACTAGGCGACGGCGGTCGTTCCTGAGATGTTTCTTCTTTCGTTGGCTTACTACTGTTAATAGTAATAGATTCTGGATAATTACTAGAGGGCTGGATCAGTGCCGCCTCTGAACTTGGTCGACCTATTTTCTTCAATGAAGGTTCAGCAATGTGGTTGTAATTTGAGTTGTGGTTCTTATGGTTATTTATTATAGAGCTATTATTATGATGGCTATGATTATTTTGCCGATTTTTTGGAGCACCTACTGAGAAAGTGAGATTCGGTTTTCCTGAGAGAGTATCGAAAGTCAATTTATTTTGCATGGCCAACTCGTAAGCTTCTTGTAGTATTGTTCCTTTGGAGTCAACCATTACATATAAAATATTTCCCATTGTCGGTTTTTGGTGCAGAGCGTGTACCGCCGACTTGCATGACGTAACTGCTTGATAAACCACACGTCCGATACCCAAATGTTTCTTAGTTTTGGGGTTAGTATATATTTTCGTTTTCTCCAAGGCGCCAAAAGCAGAGCACATTTCCTGGAGGAAGTCATTATTTATATTGTCGTTGAGGTTACATATCGTTAACTCCCGAGGGGGTGGGGTACCGACGTAGTTCTCGTCGACTGTGAACTTCGGAAGCGGAAGGTCGGCAATTTCTACCGACAAAAGTCGAACGAAAGAGTTTCTCGGATCATGTACGAGGTTCAAACTACTATTATGGACTCCGCCAATAAGCGAATCCCCGGGTTCTTTGCCATCGTATCTGTAAACAAGTTTGGACCCTTCATCTATCATGGGGTCCGAGACGACTCTATAGGCACTGAAACTATGCGGTCTATGCGAGCTTGGTGTCTGTAACGATGATACATGTTGAGGATGAACAGTCAATTGTGATTGGTGGTGTAGCGTGGAAGGGTTGAGAATAGGCGCCGCTGGCATGGTTGAGATGATCTGATCTTCTTCTGCATGCGAATTGGAAAAGTTATGATAGACAGCTTCAGCTGTAAATTTACCGACTGGGGTCGAAATGGATCCGCAGTTACTATTCACGCAGCATAACATCAAATTTGTACCTGAAACGAATATTCAATGAAAAATACACCCAGCTTAAAAATTTATTCATTTCTAGGCTATTTCGCCCTCGCCGAAAAAAAAGTTTGATTTCAAATCTCAGCTTTCAAAGTGTACATTTACAGTCACTTTCATCTACTAAGAAAAACTCGCAGTTCTTGGCAATTCAAATTCACAATTTGCAAATGTTGCTGTGCACTGCTGCAATGCATTAATTCCACAGCAAGAGCATACACATTAGCAACATAATTCAGAAAAAGTGTTTCTTCAATAATGATTTAGTTCTTATTTATTGCTACGACCAATCTCAATGAGTGAAAAGTAGCTATGGCAAAGTTTTGTCTTTTCCGCGCAGTTTCAGGTACCACGAAGAATACTTTTGGGGAGCCGAGTGTGGTGTACTAAAAATCATGTCAGTCGCTCTTGGGATTCCAAGTAGATATTTCAAACCGGCTATCGCAATGTTGAAACTTTCTGCGCTAAGAAGATTCTTTGATATTCAGGTTTACCGATGGGGAAGTAGATCTGATACTCGCGAAAAGATGGAACCTGAACCTTCTTTCTTTTTTTTAACAATAGTTATTACTAACAATGGAGTATATTTCATCTACTATTACCTAATTCCTGTAGTTTCATCTCAACCCTTCTAATTGCCCAAGAAAACAGAAGAAACTGAAATTTTCTTATCTACTGTGGTCGTAACACTCTGTGCTCCTAGCAGAGAGACCGGGTTACTCCTGTTTCGTTTAAAGCTGTTCACATTGCCCCAAAAAGAAGAAGATAAAAGCAATAATATAAAAACCATTTTAGAAAAATTTAAAAACAGGAGATTCCTAGCTCCTCACCTCTTGCCAGACAAATATATAGGTAATCAAAATGTATTATAACAAGTGTAGCCGGTTACTGTGCAAGTAGCACAGAATGTTCCGACCACAGTCTTGAAAAAATACAAAGTTTTCTCAATTTGCTGTTTTTTTCTACTTTTAAAAATTTGAACGAAAAAAGAGCAATTAGGCATATTTGAGAATCATAGTTAAATTATTCAATTAGAAAACAGTTTCTGAAGAAAAATGGCTAGAAAAACGAAAAAAAAAATGTAGATGCTGGTAATGTTCGAAAATCAACAATTCCGTCAAGTACAAAAATTATTTAAAGCAGCAACAGTCTATCAACTCTTTATCATTGGAAGCTCTGAGTATTTCCCAGTTACGACCATCCATCAATACTCGCGACTAATTCAAATCGAAGGACTTGTTAGCGAGATTCCATTGACTCGAACGGGGGCATACGTGGTTCAGTATTGTTGCAACTTCGTTGTCGCCTACCCATAACGTTTACAAAACTTCTTTCTGGTGCTGACAGTGTGTGTAATTTTATTGCTCTTTTTACAGTGTTTTTTTGTTCTTCAGATACGTCCTGATGATGAGTTCTGTTACTCGAAATGCATTGACCTTTTTCATCTTTTCGTTTTTTATGAAAAAAATTGCTGAAATTTGCAAAAAATTTTCCAAAAAAATCGTTTTGCAGAAAGTTTTTGAAATTTCAAACTTTCGATTCTCAAAATTGCACTAAAAAATCCAAAAAAATCCTTTACCCGAGTAAAAATAAGTTTTCGCGGCTTAAATTAAGCTTAAATAAGCTATTGCAATTACAAACTATCTTACTAATTAACTCGAAATTAGACCAAAAATTTCAAACCGGTTTTTCTCAACACTGTGAAATTTTTTACAAACTTCTAAAATTTCGTTCGAATCACTAAAAGGGCTTTAATTTGATATAACACTTCACCCTGTCGATGAATAATTGTGGTAGCTGATTTTGCGTAGAAAAAAAAATAACACACCCGAATCCAGTTCCTCCCCATTTTCAATGGTCGGAACAAAAAGATGACTTTGCGACATACTTCCTGTTTGTTCAAGATTGACCACTATCACTGAACCATGAAACCACAATCAATCCTTTGAATCAAAAACCTAGCCAACTAGCAGTTGGAAAAGAGTAATGAACGCAATGAGCTGAAAAAAAAATTGACTTGTTTTTTCAAGGGCCTTCAACTTTTGAATTTTGAAGAAAAACAATAGATGGCCTAAGAGCTCTTTGAATTTTAAAAAAACAATTTGAGAAAACTGGATCCATAGGTAAAATTTTTATTTCGCTGGGAAATCTGAAAATTAATTTCCATTTTCGAAATTACAAGTCGATCACGTTTTTCGTGACCATAACACTTTTGCTGTTCGATAGTGGAATTTGCCTTCCTTTTAACAATGGAAATGCACTGATTTAAAAAAAAATCACAAGTCAAACCGCGAAAAATCAAAACTGAGCGTGAACAAATTTTAAGACTTTCATAAAACTAACCAAGCTTGAGAATTCTGGGTCAAAGGGTAATTTTTTTTATTCCGCTGGAACTTAAAATTCCTCAATCGAAACTATAATTGGATCTTGTTAACTATTTCACCCACTTAATTGTTGATATTTTTGAAATGCATATTTTATACAGATATGGTTGTGCAGAAAATAATACATGCATAGGGGGGAAATAGTTATCAAGGTCCAAAAGGGGGGATAGTTAACAAGATCCCTAAAATTCAATCACGTTTTTGTGCTATTTGATTTTGTAATTGGATAGCGTAATTTATCTTTCTCCCAGCAAATGAATTTGGATTGATCTTAACAATTAAATCGAAAGAGAAACCGAAAAAAAAACTTTGCTACTTTCGTCACTTCGTTCTATGAACGTTAAAAGATCAGCTTCTGGTCGGACTCAAACCTCGACCGTTGTCGTCCCAATCATCTCTACGTCAAAATAAGTAAACGAAACTTGGTAAGGTAATAAAGTAAGCTAATGAAGTTTGTGAATAAGTGTTGACATTAAAAAAAGGGTTATAAATGGCCATTGCTGAGCAAGTTGGCGGAGCAGAAAAATGCTTTTTGAACCTTAAAACTTTCCTCAAGAAGGACATTCAACGAAGCCTATGATTCATAGGATCCATAATTCGGAGTCAATGTCAATCATTATTCATGACAATTTCGGGAAAATCCGAGTCTGATCTCACCAATACATGAAATACCGATCACATCAGCTTTTCTAACAATTTGCTGTTAAGCCAGGTGGGATGTCTAATTCTAGTGGCTTCCAACACCTATCTGAACGGCAAGCGCAATGCAAGAATGTCCTTGGTAACGCCCCCGAAGAAAGGTTCGCAGTTGACAGTTATAAGGCATCGGAAAAAAAATAGTGCCTACCGTTAACAGAAAAGGCCATGTTTCAAACAGACGGCCATGTTTCAACCTGACTCGGGAAGTACAACACCCCAAATTAATTCATTTGTTCAAAAAAGCGCTACTTATGGCAAGAATAACTTTGAAAGCGATAAAAAAAAGCACTTGAATATTTTGTTTATTTGACTGAGTCCGAACGGAGCTTCGCACCATAAAATACAAGAAAGCCGGAAAAACCAAAAAAAAAATCGAATAAGTCAGAAAAACTAGATCAATCAAAACAAAGAAAAAAAATACGCGAAGACAAGAAAATGTAAAAGTATAATCGGAAGAAAATTGACCCAACGGTAACAAAGCCGAAGAAGCCTGTGCACAAACCCTTTGCCAAAAAGAATCAAAGATTTAACAACAATGAAAAATTTTCAAGTTCCCGTCCCTCTCAAAAACACACGCACACAAACACTTTTTTCCGCTCATCAAATGAGGCAAAATGAGCACACTAAGCCGCTATAGTAAGAGTCGACATCTATCAAGCCAAAACAAAAGCAAAGAACAAAAAAATGCCATTTTAGAAATTCGACAATTAACATTAAAAAGAAACATATTTCGAATAGGGCGGAAATTTAAAACGCTTCGAAGTATTTTTGTTGCAGTAAAGGGCCCACAGAGATAATTCTTACGATGCTTTATTACAGGATATAAGTCCTGTGAACAAGATTATTCATGGGGAAAATTCTAGTATCCGATTACAATACCCTTGCAAATCGCAACGGCAAAAAAAACTTCCAATTTTTTTGAAATATCCATATCACGGAGCTTAGCTTTAAGACTCTCATTCATTCAATCTCTTTTCACAGCCCTATAAATGATTATATAAACAGAAAGTTATATTGAGAGCGATAAAAAAGCAATTGCATTGGCCAAAATTTGCAAGACATGGCTAATTAAATTTAGGTGAAAATTAAATTTTGCCAGATAAGGCATTGCTCAAACATGCAAAAATTTGACGGTTGAATATGTTTTTTGAGTCACTGATGTCCCAAATCTCTGAGCTCCTCTGCAACGTCTGGTACCTCGAGGACAGCTCGCTTGTGGCTTAAGTGAACGTCCTCGCTCATGCCTTCAGCTTCATTGGTTCTTCGATGTCTAGTATTGGTCTTCAGGTCAGCGTTGAGAAATTTGAATTGTGGTCCCCCACCCCTGACCTGGATACCAGCCTTCTCCCGCCAGAAATCACCGTCCAAAGGCTTGGCTTGAAGAACCTCGGCGCTCCAGTATCCGACAACCAAGAGTTTATCAGCGGATGTTTTCCAAGCGTGTCAAGAAGTGCACAAAACTCTTGGAGTTTATATGCTTGCTTGAAGACCCTCCAGTCGGAGCTTCACCTTCGCAGCTGCGCTGCGCTTCCGAAGATAATTTTCAGCCTTCGGACCTGCGACCCCAGTTCCGTTTCCTCTCCCCTCTCAGATTTCGACAGCGCAGTTCACAATGCTCTTGAAGCAATAACCGGCTCCGCTGTTTCTGAGAATCAACATTTGCTCTTTGCTGCCAGTTTCGAAGGGAGTCTGTCTAGGCAGTTATGTCGACACCAATACCCTCGCTGACCAGATCATAAACAACTCCTCCCAGCAAGCCCCCGGCTTGGTTCAAAGCTGTCTCCGCCCTCCGAGGCCGGCCATGAACCAATTATTCAGTCTGTTCCGTGTTCTTTCGCACCTAAAGCTCAAACCAAGCTCACCATCATCGCCAATGCTTCCAGCTGGCGTGGGTGTCGTG